GAGTTTTTCCCCACTTTTTACACTTTGGTTCGGAACCTCAAATAAGTCAAACTGTGTCGGAAACAACAAAAAATGTTTACTGGTTTCTTATTTTTAGTCAAAAAATGTCAGATTGAATTCAGACTGCCAGTCCTATTTGTCCTACTTGTGATAACGCGAGCGCCATGGGTTGATTGTGGTAACGCGACGTTTAAGCCTGTAAAGGGGTTTATGGACTGGTTAAGCGTGTAACTTTTGTGTGCTCTGGGATAACGAGTAAACACTAAAATTAAATCTGAGTTTTTAATTTGGTATTAATGTTTACCCAATTTTCTGTTTTGATTTTTTTGTAGTTTTTTAGATAAAAATCAGAAACCTTTGGGCCTCTACAGCGATGAAGTGCGATCAAAAACCCGGCAAACCAAAAAGCTTCTTTTTTGTGTCCAAAAACAGCAAAGTTAGCGATACTGTTTCCATACAAGAACAGCGTACAAACATAAAACGTAGAGGAGACAAATCTCAGGCCAACTGAGATAGTTCGTGCTTTTTTGACCATATTTTTCAAGTTTTTTTTCTTATCATAGATCCACAGAGACATAAAAAGCAGTATATAATAATTACCATTGAGAAAATTCGTTTGCTAAATATTAAATTACTACCGAAATTATAGACGAACTTCAAGTTAGCCTAACTGAAATATATTACTTGCCTAGAATTGCTTTCGCCAAACCAGAATTTTCATTTTTTTTAAACTTAATGAGTATCAACCTCTGCTTGGAAATTCTCGTAAGCGTAAGGGAGGAGGCGTTTTTAATATAAGATGTGGAATTAATCAGACACTGCTGATACTACAAAACGTTTAGGATGATATTATAATAGCACCATCTACACATCAGTTACTTTGGGGTGACTTTAGTTTTAATAGTTTAAGAAAAAGCAAAATACTCTCTGAACTAATAAGCATACTAAACGGAAATAATCTTTACCTAAAAAATGAAAAACAAGCAACCAGAGAACCTAAGACCAGTGAAACGTGTAAAAATATGATTTTTCCAATGTAAAAAAAGGTAACCATCTTCGAAACATATGTAGCTGACCATTATTGTGTAATTTTAAACGCATCATCACAAGTATGCAAAAATGAACATTTTATTTCTAAAATCTCAACGTGGTACGAATTTAAATCGAAATTTTTTCTGCACTAACTAAAGGAATCTTTAAATAAAAATTTGTTCGATGTTGAAACAGAAATTAACCAAATGGATTCCGATGAGCTTTTTAATTGTTGAACGAAAAGCTACGAATTAACAATAAATCATTTTTATCAGAAAAATCATCAATTGGAAAACTTCAAAGATTTCGATAGATAGTGAAGTGAAACAAGCAGCTTCGAAAAAAAGCGGAGTTCTTAGAAAAAAAACTAGAACCACAGAGGTCAGAAGTAAAAATTGAGTCTCATACCAAATTGGTTCAAATATGCTGAGTTAGAAAAAAAACAAGTTAGAAACCGAACCGAACGACAACAGCAGAGTTTTTTCGTCTGTATACCGGTCTTACATGTGCTACCAAAAACAATGTTATGGTAGAAAAATACATAAAAAACAATGAATTATACAGTTTTTTTGCAAATACTGGAGAGAAATAGCGAGGAAACCTAATACTTTAAAAAAAATAGGAGTCAGAAAGGAAATAAATTTAATGTTTTTAGCAAACATAATGCAAAGTGAAAAACAATCGAATCGCTACAAACCATGTTAAGATTAGATACAAATGGAATTTGATCATTGTTACTCGAAAAAGATTTGGCCATTTTTGCTCCCAGTTGTGACAAAATTTTTCTAGAAAAGTATTTGAATAGACAAATTTTTCCAGAGAGTTTCAAAACTGCTAAAGTTAAACCTCTCTTCAAAGACAATGAACTAAAACAATCAAAATTTGGCCAACTGTTCTTTTTACCAGTTTAGGGTAAATTTTTTGAGCGGGTCAATTATAACAGATTGAACCAAAATCTCACTAAGTATCAATAATTACAAATTTAGATTCAAATCAAAAAGAAGTACAATTGATGCTTTGATCAGAATAAGAGAAATATGTCAAGATTGGAACTCTGAGACCACTAGGACATAGATTGATTTTATATGCAGAAGACACTGTCATAACAACGACAGCTAGAAACAGTGTGTTAACCGGTAGACAACAAGAAGCGTTGGACAAAACAGCAAGTTGTTTAAAAAAGCAAGCTGACCTTAAATGAAAACAAAAAAAAGGAACAGTGATACTATCGGAGAAGTGCAGCGGAAAATTAGATGTATAAATGAATGGAATAAATATTGGAAAGGAAAAAATGTCCCGTTACTTAGCTGTTCATATTGACTCTAAATTCTCCTTTTTAACTCATTTCTTTTTTAATTACTCATTGCTTTCCTTTTTTTTTTCAATTCACAGAATTTGTCCAGAATTTGTGGTACGTATTACAGGTTGAGAAAAAATTTCAGTGAAGATCAACTACTGAAAGTATATAACGCTTATTTGAAACGCATTTTACAGTACGTCAGTACGGGGTTTTGGCTTATGCGTCAACAAACACTTAGACACAATTGAAACAATTGAACTTAAAATCAAACCATTTCTGAAAGTTATACGTTTCAAAAGAAAAATGAAAGATAGAAGAAATAGGGCAAAAACCAAAAATAAGGAATTACATATCTATGAATCATTAAAGTTACTATTTTAGTTTGAAAAAAGAGTTAATTCTCGGTTAAAGGTCCCCAGTGGGCTAGCGTCGCCGCTTCTTGGCCATAATCGGCTCTACGTTTTTTATAGAGTCCTGCCCTCTGTTGTCAAGCTCGCAACACGTTGGCGCAACTGGAGCTGTCACTATTATTGGCTGAATTGTCCCTGGATTAATTTTTGCATACTTTTGTCTGTACTTTTGTCTAATTTTTTATTCAAGTTATCTGTACAGATATTTTTTACCAGGAAAACTTTTTATTCATTTACAAGATTTGATTTAACTCAAAAATAATATCACATGAATACGGATCTATTTCATCTTTAAAATGAGATTTTATAAAAGCAGAATTGAAATGCTTAAAACACCTTACGTTCAAAACAATGTTTCAAACGTTTGGTTTTTAGGCAGTTTCAATACTGTTTTTGAATGCATACCTTTTGCAAACAAAAAACTTTTACATACTTAAAAACCTATGGCATCTTAAGTATCAAAATTGATGTCAAGCTATCTATTCAATCTGAATACTTCAATTTACAAAACATTAAAACAGATTTTTCTTGTATCCGAATCGAAAACTTTCATTATGCCAGGCATGCTCCTTACATCTACGCTGAACATGCATCGTAAAACGCAGACGTACAATTGATCATGCACTAAGCTATTCATTACTTCGATATTCTACTAAGAAAGTAATTCACCTGGAAGAACGTCTAGGTTCCGAGTTGAAAAAGGCTGCTAATTCAAAAAGTAAAAAATTGTTTCCAATTCAATTTTGATTATTTGAAACCTCAGGAATCAGGTCTTTCAGTTGTTGCTTTTACTTTTCGTCGAAAGGTCTTAGTTCAATAAACATTCCATTCACTGTACAATTTACTACATTTACAACCAAATGAAATCTCATTGCGAGAACGCCGTGGAACTTTTCAGCCCGTTTTTAAGCGCCTCTGATCCTGTTATGACTGTTGTTGGTTTTCAATATCGATAGTTATTTAAAACAATCACTAGACATGTTTTGATGAAAACAAAAAATTAAGAAAAAGAAGGTGAAAAAATTTAGCAGTATACCTACGCTTGACAGCAAAAAGTTTTTTTGAAGTTTTTATTAGACAAAAATTAGTTTAAGCAGTTGATAATTTCTTACAACTGTTCAAAAACTCATGGTTCAAGATTTGTAACTGATATTTGGTGCAGCTCTGAATCCAGGTTAGAAAATCAGGGTAGCATTTTAGAACAAAGTTGAAACACTTTCAAAGTTATCCTTTATCGAAATTTACTGATTACCTTTTGAATGTACAGGTATCTGCCTAGCTGAAACTCTCTTACTAAAAGTTGGACGAATTGTCTAAGCGACTAGATAAACAGATGCGCATCTATAATGACTATATTGTTGTTTTTTTTGATAAAGACCCACTAAAATTGATGTTTCTTATACAGAGGCAAAGCGAAGATTTGCTCTACTTGCGTCTTCACATATCATTAGCATTGCAAGCTAGCAGTTAGAAAATGAAATGAAAGCATCTCAAAGAAAAAACGAAAGGAACTTTGCTATTTTTGGTGTAACTTGGCGACCTGCAACTTCACTTCAAGGCAAAAATAGAAAGCTCAAAGCAAAATTCAAGGCAATCTTGTAATCAATCGAAAGCATACCTTATGACAAAATCCGGTTGTGGAATTTTAAAAAGCATATCCATTTCGTGTCTGTACAACTGGGAACAGGCAACAACCTATAGTGCAACCGGGCTGATATGTTATGCGTGCTTTCTTGAGCAAAAAGTCTTTAGAAACATCTTCATGATGCATTATTGGAATTACTATCTCTGAACTTAGCCAATCGAAGATTGGAAAAAGAGTAATGAACGCACGAAAACATAAAAAAATGCTGTTGAACAAAATCTGAACTTTCTAATTTCAAAGAAAAAAAAAGATGCCCTTTAAACACAAGAATTTCTAGAACGATATATGATTGGGGCTTTTTTGAAAACCTTAACCCAACTTGAGACAACAGGTAAAGTTATTTTTTCGCTAGAAATCTTAATATTCAATTCCACTTCGAAATAGAAATCGCTCACATTTTTGCGCGCCATTTCCACGTTCATATTTGGAGAGTGGTATTTACGTCACTTTCAGCAGATGAATTTCAATTGAACTCAAAAAGTGCATATAAACCTAAGTGCTTCCATAAATGCATCAAATGCACCTATGTAGTTATTAGAGCGTTTCAAGACTTTTTCCTGAAAAAAAGACCTAAATCAGAGTCTTCACTACGTTCATTACTCTTAAAAAAGACTACGAAAATAATCTGTTTCAATTCGATAAAAACAATTTATTCAATATATGCGAAACCGTTTCTTAAGGAGTTTATACAAAATTATTCAGATTGCACCATTCGATTGGCATTTAATCACAAAATATACATAACCATTTCTAAAGGTAATTACTGTACATCGAAAACTTTTTGACTGGCAGATGAATAATGACAGATTATTCTATTGAGAGCAGAATTATTTGATATAAAAAATGAAACAATCATTTCATTTCGCTGATGTCACACGACTTAACTGCTGCATTGAAAGTGAATCCTACGAGTCTATCTTCCAATCGCTCTATTTCTAAGTTTGCTTTTAATGCTAAGTTTAGAATCGTTTGAGGGTTTCTTCCCAATTTTCTTTGCTGTTAGCTTGTATCCGACACTGGTTTGATCTGAGATAGGATCCACTGGTAGTGCTTGTTCATGTCGTGGGTAGGAGGAGCCAATGGGAGGTACTTCTCGAAACAATCCAGCACCTCCCTCGGCACTAGAGGCTGGTGTAAGTTGAATTTGTTCACACATAGATGGTGCGCAGAGACCAGATGGGAGGGATTTAGTTGCAGTGCCTTCTCAAACGCCTGAATACAACAGAATTCTGATAGAACCGTTTTATTTAACTGTGGCTCAAAGGAACATTACCTACACATTACAATACCTGAAGCAACGGAAAATGAATTAGTGTTCAGTTTAGGTATACATTCTGACTTTTTCTCTTCTTATGACACAATTAGCAGTTGTTTCTGCATGTTTGCTACAAACTGAATTAAGGATTTCAAGTCTAAAGCGGGGTTGTTTGATGCATACCTGATTGGCCTCTTGTCTGTTACCAAGTTTAGTCAATACGTCGCCCTTCAGCGCCCATGCCTTCACGTAGTCTGAGTTCAGCTAAAACAGTTTAATTCAAATGTCTTTACAATATTCAGCACATTGACAGGGTTCATACTCGATCAATTATATCGCTTTAAATTCAAATATAGACATGAGTTATTTGGTTAGTTGAACTAAAAAGAAAAAAAACGCAACTATTTTCATTTTCAATCAAATCAAATCACGCAAAAACAAACGAATGTTAACGCATAAATAAATACGCAAAGATGGGAGAAATGGTCATTATTTTACTAATGAGGCTATCGCAGCTATCCAAATTAGAGAAAAAGGGTGGAGTCACGAGCAGTCTTCAAATTATGCATCACATTCTCTGAACTTAACCTCCGTTCGCTATGGGCTTACTGGTTACGAACCAAAAAGTAAACATGTCATAAAGTGGATACATCGTAAGCCAATCTGAATAGGGAAATCTGAAGTGTCAAACTTTTGACCTCACTCCGGGATATCTTAACCTATTTCTTTGTCATCAGGTTCGCTTGTTCTCATGTAATATTATTGTATTTAACGAAAATTACCTGTAATGCATGCTCAACATAGTGAAGTGCGTCTGTGTGTTCGCCAAGTTCAGTCAACACCAATGCCAAGTTGAACACGCCCGCCTGGTCTCCAGGACTCAGCTGCAAAAATCAAACGGTTCATTTTATATAAAGCACTTAACGAAACCTGAAAACTAAGTCAGTTTACTGGACATATTTTTTCAGAGTCAGGTAAAAGCACATTATATTGAAGTAGAAATGTTTCCTTCTTTTTCTTCCAGTTTTACATTCACTCTTAAGGATGCAGTACATGGGCATACACCTCACCTCACTAACCATTATAATACATTTTAAGCTTAATAATTTATATTCAGTTACTTCTGAATATTTATCCGAATATCTGCAGCAATCAGCAGTAACCAGACAATGAGTTTAGAAGTGTTCTTGTATCAGTAGCAGCTGAACTAATCGTACCTCTGTGGCCCTCTTGTACCACTTGACAGCCTGTATCTTGTCGTGGCGCTGCTCTATGTAGAATGTGGCTAGCTTGGTAGCCACTTTAGGGTCACTCCCTTCCCCCTCCGTCCACAGCTGTTCCAGTCTGAACACCAATCAAAGCACGATACACAACAGAAGCAATCACAACATCAATGCAACCAGAAAGTTAAAAGTTAATTATAAAAATATTTCATAAACAATAGTATTGCTGGAAATTAGAATTGGTTATAGGGTCTATAATCTTTTCATTTACATCATGAGGTAGCTGCTATCATTTTCGTTGACAACCCGATTCTGAATACGATATGAAGAGATTAATGATGCTGTTTTTATTCGTGACTCGTTTGCAAACTCTTGAAATACCGTTACCAGCTAACTTAACTCATGCTACCTGCCTATTCAGCTGAGGCTGACTTACAGATGAACAGCCCGATTATGATTGGCGTCTTTCTGGACAGTTTCCGGTTGCGGCAAATCTACAAGCAGTGCTGCCAGGTTGAACTTGGCCCTCATATGGGTGGGGTCCAGATTCACTGCCCTGGAAAAGAGAGGAAACGCATCTGCAAGCTGACCCTCCAACAAATACGTCACTCCAAGCTGAAAATTACGTCACGTATGTTAGATTTAATCACAATTCTCCAGGAGAAGTAAATCAAAAACAAAACATAGCCAATTGAAGGTAAGAAAAGTGTAAAAGGGAAACCGAAAAAGTATTGAAACTTCTGATTAATTTTAAATTTTGCATGAAACAAATATATCAGGTGAAAGCTCTTTTAATTACAAGAATTATTTATAATTCACACTTTTTTTAAAAAAAATAGCCTAATTCAAGAAAACTGGATCAAGGAGCAAATTTTTTGAACCGCTGGGAAATCTTAAAAGTTAATTCCACATTCGAAACTGAAAATTGATCACGTTTTTTTGCGCAACTTTCTCTTTCGTAATCGGACAGCGCATTTCGCCTACCTTTTAGCAAATGCACTTGAATTGAACTCAAAAAGTGCACATAAACCTATGTGCATTGATAGTTACATTTTAACGTACGAATGGAACTTCTGTAGGTTCGAGAGCATCTTAAGATTTAAAGCTTTTTCCCAAAAACAATGCAAAAAAATCATCAAGACCTAACCTACATAACTGAAAATCAATTAGTTCTTTTACACTTAAAAAAACCTCATTTGTTACATTTTTGAAAACAAACGTTCCCGTTTTTCTTTTTACAGTACAGGGCAATGAAAAAAGTTCATTGAGACGATTTCATAGCTAAAGTAATGAGTAAATTGCGAGCGAATTAAATTGAGAGTTCATCTAAAAATGATTTGCATCGTGCCATTTTTAAATTTCGTGTCATTGTTCTCGAAACTGAGACAAATACTCATGATTTTTTTGGACACCAATATTGACCTCCAGTGAGATTTCCTTGAGGTAACTAAAATTGGGCGGAAAAAACACCAACTAATCTACGAAACCTTGTCGGAACAAAAACTAAAATTGAACTTACTGCTGAGACAAAAACTTCAATTTGGCAACAAAATTCTAAAACTAATCCAGCAAAAAACGGAACATTTATGGTTGGGGTAGTTCTTTATATTCAGTTTTATATTTTTAACAGTGTTTTTTTGGGGGTAAATTTTTTATGCCATCTAAAACATATTGTTGACTAGAGCTCAAAAAATTGTATGGTGATCATTTTACGTGTAGTTATGGGAGTTTGAAAACTAATGATTTAGCTAACTTGGGACGATTAACGCGCGATATATTGCGTTCTTATAACACGCGTAAGCCAAGGATTAATGCGTTCCAAATTGAATTGAGGCACGTCATGAGCTCGAAAAAATATGCAAGCGTGACTTCTTCCTTAAAAACATAAAAAACATGACCAAAAGTAATAAAAGTCACTTCGTTCACTACACTTGCACCTGAAGATTAAATTCAGGTTGAAATTATATGAAGAGCACTTGGAAATTGAACATTTAGAGCGAGCTTCAAATGACCATCTAACAGAATGAACATAGCCAACACACAGTTGGAAAAGAGTCATGAACGCAAAAAAAAACAGAAAGAACAACTGATTATTTTATTGAAACATTCATTACGTTCATGAGTCTTAAATAACTTTGACTTCCGAAAGCACTTTGAATTTTAAAAAAAGTTTATGATAGGCACCTTTTTATTCAAATTATCCCATTTAGACAAAACTGAATCAAAGATAATTTTTTATTCCGCTGTGAATTCAGAAAATTTCAGTTCATTTAGAAAACTAGAAGTCACTCACATTTTTTCGTGGCTTTTAAAATTTTGTTGTTCGATACTGAAGGAAAAGATTAAAAACACATACTGAAAAAAATAGTCAGATCTGAGTATCACGTTCTCGCATCTGCTCCACGGCTGCTTCTAATTTTACTAACACTAGCCACCAATAAAGAAGCTACAGCTTCTATCAAATTGCCAATTCTACGCAGCAAAAATTCGACCGGAAAAACAAAAGTACTTCAATGTTCCGAATTTGAATCTTCGACCTGTTGATTAGGAGTCTAACGTCCTTGCCTTTGCGCCACGGCAACTTGCAAGTAAACTAGTGTCCATCCTTGGATCCACCTGTTTTAATTTTGGACTTTACACAAAACACTCTGACATCTCTGCTTAAGTAGGGGATTAGCCGCTTATTTTGTCATACCCTGAGGTATGTTCAATGTTATTATCGAATCCGAACGGATTGGTGAAATAATAATGATTATGTATGAGAGCATAAATAAGACAACTGGTTCGTAAACTCTTGATTCATGTTCTAACGGTATAATCTAAACTCTTCATTAGAACCACATTCAAGGTCAATTGACCAGCTCAACACAGTGAGCTTAACGATATAATATGTGTATATAGTACTTTGCCAATCCGGCCGGATGAAATTTAAAGGAGAAAACTACTACTCACTTTTTCAAATTAAGTTTTTATCTCAGATTTGGCTAAGTAGTTTTCAAAAAATTGAAAAAAAATTCCAAAAACGATCAAAAATTTGACTTTTCCAAAATCCATTAACTTTTCTCTACTTAAGCAAGGGAAAAACCTCTTATGCAGGGAATGATTCCACAACCTGATTTTTAGTTTGAACCCTTGATATCAGATTAAGCTAGTAGTTTTCAATAATAAAGACGAAAGTTCTAGAAGAAAATGGTGAAAATTTCGAAAAACGGATTTGTCCAAAGTTGATTGCGTAGGATAAAACAGATTGCGCAGGGAAATCGAAGCGCTATGCTAGTTTGAATGAACTATCAACCTCAGAATCAGTAGGTTAAATTTTGAAAAAAAAGTAAATTTCCAAACAGCGGTCGAAAGTTCAAATATTGCCTATTTCCTAGAGCCATATATTTTTTCAAAACTCGGGGCGTAGCCGTTTGCGCAGATAAAATTCATTGAATAACTGTTTTTTTCCTCGGTTAAACTTCGTCTCCAATTTTGCTGAGTAATTTTGGAGAAAAGTCAAACGTTTTTAAAAAATAGCCAAAATGTAAAAAAAGGGCTTGTTTTCTACCGAATTAAGAGAAGAGCCGCTTAAGAAGGGGGATCTCCATATTTTGTACTTTTGATTGCAACCTTAATCTCTGATTTGTGCATTTAATATATGAGAAAATTCAAAATAAATTGGTCAAAATTGCGTCTACTGAAAATTTTGAAGGCCGTAGAACATGGGGTAAATCGAAAAGAGACCAGCGAAAAATGCAGGCACATAGAAGAGCACCCGGGTTTTTCCTTGAGTAACTTTTTGGGAAAAATCTTGCACTAGTTTTTGAGAAAAACTGAAACTTCAGCGAAAAGTGTAAAAAATTTCCAAAGCTTCGCAAAAAAACCCATTTTTTTTCATAAAACCTGATTTTTTTTCAAACAGGACCTAAGACTGGTCAAAAATATAGCAGCAACATATGCTTTAAAATCGTTTATGTTTAAATAGGATTAAATTGAAATATATCAAAAATGCCACCAAATGAGCACTTTTATTTGCGACTCAATTTAAAAAAAATTCTTCGTAAATTACTACGCTTCTCTTGTGTAAATAAAGGAAATGAAATTGAAAAGAAATCATTATTTAAACAGCAAAAATTTCTTGAAAAAAAAACAAAGAATAATCCCGACCTATATAAGTGAAAATCACTTCGTTCTTTTACATTTAAATTCATCGTAAATGTCGATTTTAAAACAAGACGTTCAGAAAAACTTTAATTAATTTTTGAGCAGCACGACCATATTTAACAAATTCAAAGCTTAATAGTTGGGATGAAGGGTAGCCAACAGATTTTTATGTCAAAACTTAACTTAAGCTCGGCTACTCTGGCTACTTACATTATACCAAATGTCTGCACTTTTCTCATCGAACTGACGGGCCTTCAAGAACATCTCGCGAGCTTCCAGAGTCCTGATAATGAATTACAGATTAAAATATGGAACAACTTACACATTAGCAGAACAAAGCACACAACAGCGATAACATTCAAGTTATATTTGAGCATTTAAAACAAGTAGATCGGAAATCCTTTGCCAATGAAATTTTCTACACTTATGTTTTCTAAGAATCAAAAATCGGAAACAGGCGCGGACTTTGATTTTCACTAGTGGTTGAGAATTCAAGAACGGAGAATTTACGTATCAAGACGACCAATCCCAAAAGTCGATTTCGAACTTCCGGAGAAAATACGTTAAAGCTAGCGCAAGGTATTTTTCTGATGGTATTAACCAACAGTGGATTTAGAGCTCACTTCTATCTTTAAAAATGGTAATCAAGTCTAAGCGCCCGAAAAAAACAAATAGGCAGAATCGAACCTAAATTGATGTAGTGCAGTAGAAGCCAAGTGGTGCTTTTTGGATTAAGAATGGGTCGAATTAGTTAAGCCTCCCGCTGACCACATTTTTCATTTATTTTTTAGTCAACCAGCTAAAAGGTTAATTATTTAGGTTGACCAAGGGCGGATACATGATTTTCTCAAGGGAGGCTGATTTTTTTTAGGTCGAACAAATTGATTTTCTGAGCTCTCCCAAACCACTACGAAGGCCATTTTGACCAAATTTTTTGCGCCGCAGGCAACTTGCGCCATCATTATCAAAACGCCACAATGCCAGAGTTATTGAATCAAATAGATGTTAGAAAGCTGCACACGCCCTCTTCACAAAATCTATCTTAGATTCCATTCTGATACTCCCCTTAAATTGTTATGACTACATCTAAACATCTCCATGTCATTAGTCGAGAAACCCTCACAGACTGGTAAACAGTCTATTGGCAACTACATCTCGAAAAGACTCGCCAAGTGTTATTTTAATTAAATTGTAATCGTAATTGCAGTTAAATTGGTCAGTTAGGATTTTTTGGTCTGATATGGACTGGTACCTGTTTTGCCGGATGAGCAATTCGCCCCGGTTTGTGTAAGCGTCTACTTGGTCGAAACGCATAGTATACGCACGCTGATACAACTTCAACAAAGCACACATGTAGAACCAAAAGAAACGCACGCGCCAATGTTGAGCAATTTTTTTTTTTTAATAATTATTTTCCTTATAACTTCATGTAGTGATAGAGACTTATTTTATTAGGCAAATATAAATGGAATATCCCAGATTTTTCTATGAAAAAAGGGAAATTTACGAGCTTAAGCCCACGATTGTGGTTTTGAGTCAACTCTTCGCAATTCCGACCTATTTGAGGCGCTGAACGACAAAGAACCTCTCGTTCCAGAAGGACCGAAAGCTAGTAAGTTATGTGCGCCAGGCTTAATATAGAACTGGAACATCTGAAGAAAGCAAGCGGGAAATTTGATCAGATCTGAACGGTTTAAATAATGACGATTGGTTGAAAGTTTTCGTGCTTTGAGGCATTCTGTCACAAGTATGGTTCCCCTACACATGAATCGACAAGATTTCCTTTGACTTAAAATGAGTACCGAATGAGCGAGAGCCAAGAATTAATCCTATGTTGGTAATTGAAAACTTCGTACTGCTGACCTTGTCAGCCTCTTCTATCCTCTTGGGATCCTCCTTGATCATATTGGCTAGACTGATGAATGCGTAAAGGTAGTTGGGGTTCATTCTCGTAGCCGAGGGGCCATTTCTTTTATCCACAGTTGGGTCAGGTATGTTCTGTTTGGTGGGTATGAAGTCTATTGCGTGGTAGAACCATTTCTCAGCCTCCGTTGTCTCGTTCAGACTCCGAAGAGTCCTCGCCACATTGATGATGGCTCCCACGTCATCGGGCTGCACTCTGACGAACATAATCATATTTCTATTTTGAAAAAAATTTGTGTATTTACGAGATATCCAAACTGGCTGTCTTTTAGCGCGAAGTAATCAATTTTCTTATTATCTAACTGCATCTGCATACGTGCGCTTAAACTTAGTTCCAGCATTAAGATATCCCGTTATGATTGGAAAACGAGAAAAGGCAAGATGTAGCGGATATGCGGCGAGGGAGAGTGTGTCAGTCTCAAATCAAAACACAGAACAAGCTGATTTTAATCGTAATACTAATTACAGAGCTGATTTAAATTATCCGGAAAAAGAGAATAAAATTTGAAATTTTATTCGTGTTTTTCTTAATTTGGGTTTACTTCAGACAAAAAAAAAATGAAACAATTTTTTTCTTATTTCACGAGAATTATTTCGGTGCAATTTGCTTTGCGAAATTCTAATTCTAAATTTCACCCTAGAATGGGTAAATTTTGGCTTTCTTAAAATGACCCATTCTAGGGTGAAATTTCTGATTCGAATTTCGCAAAATAAAATCACCATATTAATTCTTGTGTAATTGCACTAAATCCGCTGCGGCCTTAGTTACTTCTCATTTTGTAACAGGAACAAAAATGAGAATTCAGCTGGTTGCAATTGAAGTGTACAAACAGTGCTGCTTGGTGGAAGAATGAAAGCGCCTGCCACAGTCTATGCCTCCCTTTATCGTCTTTTCCACTGGCGTCTTTCTCCAGAGAGTGTCCCACATTGTTCCAGCACTTGGCATTCACCTTATTCCTCTTCACAGCTGAGATGAACAAAGAGAACTCGTCTTCCCTAAACGACAGCCTGTTATCCCAATTAACTAAAATTCTCGCACATTATAGTTTAAGTATTGAAAATTCAGCCAAATGACAGTTGGAAAAGAGTAATGCACGCAAGGAAAAAGAAGAAAAAATAGTTCCAAGAGAAAAAATTGATGGCCTTAGAGCTCTTTTAATTTTAAAACTATCAAAGTTGTATCATAGTCGACTGTCCTTGAACAAATACAAGAGTAACTAGACTAGTAACAATAATGCATTCGCGGAGACAGCAGGTACACCTGCTTCACGATAAGAGCGGAACTAAAAAACTATCCAAAATGTATCATAGCCGACTGTCCTTGTACAAATACAAGAGTAATTAGACCAGTAATAATATTCCATTCGTGGAGACAGCAGGAAATCCTGCTTCACTATGTGAATGCTACTAAAAAACTATCAAAGCTGTATCATAGTCGAATGTCCTTGAACAAAAACAAGAGTAATTAGACTAGTAACAATATTCCATTCGTGGAGACAGCAGGTGAACCTGCTTCACTATGTGAATGGTACTAAAAACTTTCAAAGTTGTTTCATAGTCGACGGTCCTTGAACAAATACAAGAGTAATTAGACCAGTAATAAAATTCCATTCGTGGAGACAGCACGAAAACCTGCTTCACTATGTGAATGCTACTAAAAAACTATCAAAGCTGTATCATAGTCGAAAGTCCTTGAACAAATACAAGAGTAATTAGACTAGTAACAATAATGCATTCGCGGAGACAGCAGGTGAACCTGCTTCACTATGTGAATGGTACTAAATACTATCAAAGTTGTTTCATAGTCGACGGTCCTTGAACAAATACAAGAGTAATTAGACCAGTAATAAAATTCCATTCGTGGAGACAGCACGAAAACCTGCTTCACTATGTGAATGCTACTAAAAAACTATCAAAGTTGTATCATAGTCGACTGTCCTTGAACAAATACAAGAGTAACTAGACTAGTAACAATAATGCATTCGCGGAGACAGCAGGTACACCTGCTTCACGATAAGAGCGGAACTAAAAAACTATCGAAAATGTATCATAGCCGACTGTCCTTGTACAAATACAAGAGTAATTAGACCAGTAATAATATTCCATTCGTGGAGACAGCAGGAAATCTTGCATCACTATGTGAATGCTACTAAAAAACTATTAAAGCTGTATCATAGTCGAATGTCCTTGAACAAAAACAAGAGTAATTAGACTAGTAACAATATTCCATTCGTGGAGACAGCAGGTGAACCTGCTTCACTATGTGAATGGTACTAAAAACTATCAAAGTTGTTTCATAGTCGACGGTCCTTGAACAAATACAAGAGTAATTAGACCAGTAATAAAATTCCATTCGTGGAGACAGCACAAAAACCTGCTTCACTATGTGAAAGCTACTAAAAAACTATCAAAGCTGTATCATAGTCGAAAGTCCTTGAACAAATACAAGAGTAATTAGACTAGTAACAATAATGCATTCGCGGAGACAGCAGGTACACCTGCTTCACGATAAGAGCGGAACTAAAAAACTATCCAAAATGTATCATAGCCGACTGTCCTTGTACAAATACAAGAGTAATTAGACCAGTAATAATATTCCATTCGTGGAGACAGCAGGAAATCCTGCTTCACTATGTGAATGCTACTAAAAAACTATCAAAGCTGTATCATAGTCGAATGTCCTTGAACAAAAACAAGAGTAATTAGACTAGTAACAATATTCCATTCGTGGAGACAGCAGGTGAACCTGCTTCACTATGTGAATGGTACTAAAAACTTTCAAAGTTGTTTCATAGTCGACGGTCCTTGAACAAATACAAGAGTAATTAGACCAGTAATAAAATTCCATTCGTGGAGACAGCACGAAAACCTGCTTCACTATGTGAATGCTACTAAAAAACTATCAAAGCTGTATCATAGTCGAAAGTCCTTGAACAAATACAAGAGTAATTAGACTAGTAACAATAATGCATTCGCGGAGACAGCAGGTGAACCTGCTTCACTATGTGAATGGTACTAAATACTATCAAAGTTGTTTCATAGTCGACGGTCCTTGAACAAATACAAGAGTAATTAGACCAGTAATAAAATTCCATTCGTGGAGACAGCACGAAAACCTGCTTCACTATGTGAATGCTACTAAAAAACTATCAAAGTTGTATCATAGTCGACTGTCCTTGAACAAATACAAGAGTAACTAGACTAGTAACAATAATGCATTCGCGGAGACAGCAGGTACACCTGCTTCACGATAAGAGCGGAACTAAAAAACTATCGAAAATGTATCATAGCCGACTGTCCTTGTACAAATACAAGAGTAATTAGACCAGTAATAATATTCCATTCGTGGAGACAGCAGGAAATCCTGCATCACTATGTGAATGCTACTAAAAAACTATTAAAGCTGTATCATAGTCGAATGTCCTTGAACAAAAACAAGAGTAATTAGACTAGTAACAATATTCCATTCGTGGAGACAGCAGGTGAACCTGCTTCACTATGTGAATGGTACTAAAAACTATCAAAGTTGTTTCATAGTCGACGGTCCTTGAACAAATACAAGAGTAATTAGACCAGTAATAAAATTCCATTCGTGGATACAGCACAAAAACCTGCTTCACTATGTGAAAGCTACTAAAAAACTATCAAAGCTGTATCATAGTCGAAAGTCCTTGAACAAATACAAGAGTAATTAGACTAGTAACAATAATGCATTCGCGGAGACAGCAGGTGAACCTGCTTCACTATGTGAATGATACTAAGAACTATCAAAGTTGTTTCAGTCGACTGTCCTTGAACAAATACAAGAGTAATTAGATTAGTGACATTATTTCATTCGCGGAGACAGCAGGAAAACCTGCTTCACTATGTGAATGGTACTAAAAACTATCAAATTTGTATCATAGCCGACTGTCCTTGTACAAAGACAAGAGTAATTAGACTAGTAATAATATTCCATTCGTGGAGACAGCAGGTGAACCTGCTTCACTATGTGAATGGTACTAAGAACTATCAAAGTTGTTTCATAGTCGACTGTCCTTGAACAAATACAAGAGTAATTAGACAAGTAACAATATTCCATTCGAGGAGACAGTAGGTGAACCTGCTTCACTATGTGAATGGTACTAAAAATTATCAAAGTTGTTTCATAGTCGAAAGTCCTTGAACAAATACAAGAGTAATTAGACTAGTAACAATAATGCATTCGCGGAGACAGCAGGTGAACCTGCTTCACTATGTGAATGGTACTAAATATTATCAAAGTTGTTTCATAGTCGACGGTCCTTGAACAAATACAAGAGTAATTAGACCAGTAATAAAATTCCATTCGTGGAGACAGCACGAAAACCTGCTTCACTATGTGAATGCTACTAAAAAACTATCAAAGTTGTATCATAGTCGACTGTCCTTGAACAAATACAAGAGTAACTAGACTAGTAACAATAATGCATTCGCGGAGACAGCAGGTACACCTGCTTCACGATAAGAGCGGAACTAAAAAACTATCGAAAATGTATCATAGCCGACTGTCCTTGTACAAATACAAGAGTAATTAGACCAGTAATAATATTCCATTCGTGGAGACAGCAGGAAATCCTATTTCACTATGTGAATGCTACTAAAAAACTATCAAAGCTGTATCATAGTCGAATGTCCTTGAACAAAAACAAGAGTAATTAGACTAGTAACAATATTCCATTCGTGGAGACAGCAGGTGAACCTGCTTCACTATGTGAATGGTACTAAAAACTATCAAAGTTGCTTCATAGTCGACGGTCCTTGAACAAATACAAGAGTAATTAGACCAGTAATAAAATTCCATTCGTGGAGACAGCACAAAAACCTGCTTCACTATGTGAATGCTACTAAAAAACTATCAAAGCTGTATCATAGTCGAAAGTCCTTGAACAAATACAAGAGTAATTAGACTAGTAACAATAATGCATTCGCGGAGACAGCAGGTGAACCTGCTTCACTATGTGAATGATACTAAGAACTATCAAAGTTGTTTCAGTCGACTGTCCTTGAACAAATACAAGAGTAATTAGATTAGTGACATTATTTCATTCGCGGAGACAGCAGGAAAACCTGCTTCACTATGTGAATGGTACTAAAAACTATCAAATTTGTATCATAGCCGACTGTCCTTGTACAAAGACAAGAGTAATTAGACTAGTAATAATATTCCATTCGTGGAGACAGCAGGTGAACCTGCTTCACTATGTGAATGGTACTAAGAACTATCAAAGTTGTTTCATAGTCGACTGTCCTTGAACAAATACAAGAGTAATCAGACTAGTAACACTATTTCATTCGTGGAGACAGCAGGAAAACCTGCTTCACTATGTGAATGCTACTAAAAAACTATCACAGTTGTATCATAGCCGACTGTCCTTGTACAAATACAAGAGTAATTAGACAAGTAACAATATTCCATTCGAGGAGACAGCAGGTGAACCTGCTTCACTATGTGAATGGTACTAAAAATTATCAAAGTTAATTCATAGTCGACGGTCCTTGAACAAATACAAGAGTAATTAGACCAGTAATAAAATTCCATTCGTGGAGATAGCAGGAAATCCTTCTTCACTATGTGAATGCTACTAAAAAACTATCAAAGCTGTATCATAGTCGAATGTCCTTGAACAAATACAAGAGTAATTAGACTAGTAACAATATTCCATTCGTAGAGACAGCAGGTGAACCTGCTTCACTATGTGAATGGTACTAAAAACTATCAAAGTTTTTTCATAGTCGACGGTCCTTGAACAAATACAAGAGTAATTAGACCAGTAATAATATTCCATTCGTGGAGACAGCACGAAAACCTGCTTCACTATGTGAATGCTACTAAAAACTATCAAACCTGTATCATAGTCGAATGTCCTTGAACAAATACAAGAGTAATTAGACTAGTAACAATAATGCATTCGCCGAGACAGCAGGTGAACCTGCTTCACTATGTGAATGATACTAAGAACTATCAAAGTTGTTTCAGTCGACTGTCC